GGATGCCAATTGGAATGGACCCTACGAGCTTGAGACCATGGAACAGAAGCAAGTGCCTAGGCCTTAGAATATAGCTAATCTACGGATGTTCTATTTTTGAAGTGCCTTTACAAGTAAGAACTCCAAAGTACCTTCAGAAAATAGGGGTGCCCCTTGTTATTTTGTAAAAAGAATTCATCTGTTAGGAATATTCCTTTTATAATAAGATTACAAGTTAAAACGCTTGTCAAATTCCATTGTTTGTCAAACTCATCCTACTGCTAAGGTAGGGAGGCAAAAATCCTAATAAAGGCATAGGCAAAAATCAGGTGTAGCCACATAATCAGATCTAGGCTCATGGTTAGGCGTGATGATGTAAACCAAATGGGCAATGATTTGAGGCCGATTAGATCGACATATTGGTACGAATTCAGCAACTTCTTGAGGAGAAGCTTAGAGGGCCATGGTCTCTTTGAGAAACCTCTACGGAAGTCCCCAGCATAAGCACCTGGGACCTAGCTCTAAAGAAAGGCCAAAGCTTCTTAGAGCAAGAAATGGATTTTTTTCTAAGTTAAAGTCCCTAGCAGAGGTGCATGGGACCTAGCTCTAAAGAAGGGTCAAACAGATTCCAAAGCTTCTTAGAGCAATAAATGAAATTTTTTATAAGTAAAAAGTCCCTAGCAGAGGTGCGTGGGACCTAGTACTAAAGAAGAGCCGAACAGAAACCAAAGCTTCTTAGAGCAAGAAATGAAATTTTTCCAATTAAAAGTCCTTAGCAGAGGTGCGTGGGACCTAGCTCTAAAAAAGGGCCAAACAGAGGCCCAAACTTCTTAGAGCAAGATATAAAATTTTTTCTAAGTAAAAGTTCCTAGTAGAAGTGTGTGGGGCCTAGCTAAGAGAAAATTCCTAGTAGAAGTACGTGGAACCTAGCTCTAAATAAGGGCCGAACAGAGGCCAAGACTTCTTAGAGCTAGGAATGAGATTTTTTTTTTCTGAAATCCCTAACAGAAACTCTTGGAACCTAGAAAAATAATCGAATAATAAAAAGAGTTCTTTCATAGATACCAAAAGGAGGGAACAATGCTTTTTTACATAAAAATAGAAAAAGGAGATGTTTTCAAGAAGAAGCAGGAGAACCAGAGGAGGTATGCATAAGATGGCGCAATAACAACTTAGAGGTAGGAGGCACATCGACAGCATTCAGAGTAGCAACCTAGCCTTTTGAAAATAATACTCTTTACAATAAAGGGATTTGCAAAGCTAGGTCCTCTGCCTTCTCCATTCCCTGCTCAAAAGCAACATCTTCAAGATACTTGACTTCAACCTTGAGCTTATCAAACTCGTCCAACAAAGTAGAATGTTCAAGTTGGGTTTGGTATAGATCTATGTTGAGGGAACTCTTTGAAGCCTTCAATTCCTCTACTTTTGTTGCCAAATTTTTGTCCTCATCTTTCAGGCTAAGCGATTGAACCCGAAGAACCAGCACCTCCTCACAAAGCTTGGCATATTCTTTGTCAACATATTCTTTCTTCACTATAATAGACATTCGTTCGTGAATCGCCTCTTTCATCGACCTATCCTTTCTGACAATCCTTGCCCTTACCTCGTGCACTTTTTGAAGATCTTTTTTTTTTTAAAAAGGAGGGAGGAAAGAAATGAATAAAAATGCAACCAAGTATAAAAGAAAAATGAATCAAGGTAAATACCAAAACCATGTGCTAAATGGCTTACCAAGTAACCTCATCATCTGATGCCGCCTCATTCACAGTAAAGCCGTGAGGCAGAATCACACCCCCTAGCAACCCCTACTATGACGTTCATATCCTCGGCAGCTGAGTTTCGAATACTTATTTCTTTGTCTTTTACTTTCAGTACAGGGCAGAAGGCATGAATTGACCGTTCGGCTGCAAAGGGACTCGATCATTCATCTCTTCTTCACCAAATGCTCCTCGGGCTCTGTATCAACAGACTAAGGCGGTGAGGAGACAACCAAAGGGACAGTAGGAATTGCATCAAAAGAATGCTCGGGAGGAGAAATCGGAGCCTCAAAATAGGTTTGTGGCTCAGTAGGTGCAGGGGCATCATTAAAAAAAAGGCGTTAGATCAATTTTTGGGGTAGGTAATGGAGGTGCATCATTAGGAATATGGACGGTCGATGGGGTAGCTTCAAAAGGCTCACTTGTAGAAAGAAATTTTCACTGATCTATTCCTTCTAGAAGAGATGGTAGATTTTTGCTAAGAATGAGGGGTAGCAGCGCGCTAGGTTTGCAGTGCATCTCGGTCTTCGGCGAGCATGGCATTGGCTCGATTAGGAATGACAATGAACGAGTGATACATGGGAGTATATCCCAGGAGGACATGGATAGCTCGACAAACAAGCTCTCATTGAAGGACCACACTTTTTTCAGGTCGTCAATTTTCACTTAGCACTAAGAGATTTTGCCCTTGACAGTCTCCCCTAAGGACAAAAGCCAAAAAAAAGTAAAAAAGAATATATATAATATGTTGGGCCAAAAACTAAAGAAGAATATGATCATATACCTGACATGCCTTCGTTATATGGACATCGATAAGAATGGGTATCTCCCACCTTGTACTTCAAGTTCCCAAAAACAAAAATGATGTCATTCTTGTGTCCTTTGTTCAAATATGGGAGGTGGGTTACCAAGTATTGATCTTTCCTCCTCATCGTCAATTAGTAGCTATCATATCTTCAGAATATAATAGAAGAGGATCTCCTAGATACCTAGATTTACATTCAAAAGGTTGTTCAAGGCAATAACACCCATAACTCACCCGAAGAAGTTTAAGCAGAATTGGATAGGGCACAACTTCATGGCAGAAAGTACCCACAGTAGTAGTGGGTGCAAACGGTAAGTACCCGTGTGTAGATAGAAATCAACTCCCTCGTGCCAATCAATGGCTCATCAGTGCCAGCTACTCGAATATGAATGTCATCAAGAATGTTGTATTTGGTGCTAAAAGCTAAAATACCTTCTTTCGTAAAAGGAGCCATTTGGGAAAAGAGGGGCAAGTGAGTAGGAAAAACAAGAATGCAAGTAAAACGAGAATTTTTGAAGAGAAAAGGGGATGGAGGGAGGGTCATCTTATACTACCTTTAAAAGAGGTAAGAAAAAACAAGAAAGGAAACCAAAGGATAAGCACTTAATGTGAAGAGATAGTTCAGAGTACATTACCTGTCTCAAGAACCCAAGCAATAATGAACCTAGAGACATGAAACGATTGTTAAGTGAATGAAGGCTGAAATGCATTTCCTGGGGGCAAGTGAAGGGGCATAAAATTATGCCACATGGATGGATGGACACATGGATAAAGATATAGTCACGTAGGGTTTTTACACTCTATATCGAACAGAGCCGAGCTATTACAGTTTGGATTATATTACCGAGCAAAAATACCTAGCATAGTTTGAAGCTATGGTATAAACCGAACAACAAGATAATTGCTTATGATCAAGGGATTTAGCTGTAACAACTAGGCGTAGTCAATAACTCAGATGAGCTGAGATTAAGGGGGCATTATACAAATTCCTGTGATTGCTAACAAACAGTCCCGCTGGAAAGGGGATGTGCTATCTTCCGCCCCAGTAAAGGGATCTCTGAAGTCTATATAAGTAGCAAAGATGCATGGCAAGAGGTAAGTTAAATCCTTATGAGTACATTTCTTCATGTTTACACTTACTAACTTAAGCATTAGAGTACCTTCAATCGAAGCATTTCGATCCTAGGCAGTTTGTTTATTTTTGTAAGAAGCGCTATTTAGGAAAGGACAACTCTTTTGCAAAGGTCAAGAGGAGCGGTGTTTTTATCCTCTTACAAATATTTTTGTAATTTAATATTTTTGTAAATTATATTTTTTGAATTAAAAGTAAATAATTAATAATTTTATTTATAAATATGAGAGGTACTGTATCACAATAGAATGAGAACATCTCAACTAGGTTGACATCTACCCACCTATCTATTATTTGCACAACTCTATCCTTTAAAATGTGTATGTTTAATACATGAAAAAAAAAATAATATATTATTTATAATATCTAAATTTCTAAAATTTCAAATTTCGGCATTGGGAGACTTGTTTCTATGTTTTGATGGATTGGGTGGATGAGGTGGGCCTAATATCCTTTAAGAGATGGCTTTGAGCCGGATTTCAACAAACTTTTTATAGGTGGGCTATTGGCCCTAGTAATGGGTTTGGGGGTAGGCTTAAGTCATCTCTTGAAGGATATTGGGTTCGGGTTCGGGTTCGGGCGAGCCAAATTATCAGGCCTATTAGATTTCGGGCGTTTTTTTTTTTTGGGCTGAGTAACGAAATCCGTGGGCAATCCGGCGCATGGACAACCCTAGATGATCATGTTTTTGGTGAAGGGCCAAAGTGGTTCGATCCGAAAGATAAAGATGATCTAAGTGATCTTCAAGGCGCAAATATGTTCAATGATCATGTTTCTGTGGGTGAGGCTGTGGAATTGATTCTGTGGCTGGGGTCGCCACCGTTAATTTTGCAGAAGTTTTGGTAGATAACAAAACTACGAGTGGAGCGAGGGAGAGAAAAAGAATAGATATAGGAGGGAGAAGATGGGTGAAGAGAGAGAGAAAAAAAATCATGTTATAAGGGTAAAAATAGTAATGAAAACATACTAACAAAACTCAATGACCACCTACAAATTTTTTTTAAAAAAAAATTTTTTTACTTCTAAAAATTAGGTAAAAGTAAAATCAGTTTAACTTTCCCAGGACGAATGTAAGCTAATTAACTAAAAAAATATATTATTATTATTTAAATTTAAAAATTTGACTTAATTTACTGACATAATGATATAATTTTAGCAGAATTATTAGATCAACATCAAGTTCTATTATTTGATGGACTTTGTAATCAATCCAAAGGTCATAATGAATTAGATCAACAAATTAGATCAGATACAATAGAATTCTTAAAAAAGAAAAAAAAAATGGCATATGAAGTCTGACACAAGGACTATTAAAACGGCGGTCTCATTGGCCCAACCGAGGTCCTCGGCCTATCCTAATTTCTCCCGAGATCTGAAACTACTCTCCATCTGTCTCTCCCTCTCTCTTTCCCGTCAAGCAATTCGCGTCTCAAGTATCTCACACACTGAGACACACAATCTCGGTACATTTTTTAACGTCGTTTTGATCGCAAGATGAAGAAGGAAGACACGGTGAAGCTGATCAGCGCCGAGGGCTTCGAATTCGTCATTGACAAAAAGGCCGCAATGGTCTCTCAGACTATTCGCAACATGCTCACCTCACCAGGTCCCTCTTTCTCTCTCTTCACCAAAAGCTTAGGGTTTAATTTCCGCTCCTTAAGTGAATAAATCAATCTAGAGAATTTGGGATTTGTTAATCTGTTTTAGCGATCAACCAGAGGTGTTGAGTTTTGTTTGTGATGATTTTCTCCCTCTATTGACGTGTTTCAGGGAGTTTTGCTGAAACTGAGCATGGAGAAGTCACTTTTCCGGAGATAAGCACTGTAATTCTCGAGAAAATTTGCCAGTACTTTTACTGGTCTCTTCAATACGCCAGGTTATTCTTCTTTTTCGTTTTCCTTTTCTTTTTCCCTCGTACCTTTCTTATTATGATGTTTGGTTGCTGTGAAAATGTGGGAAGAGATATAAATTGAAAATTTTTAATCGTAGATTTTTACATTGTTTGGGAATTGGGCAAACTCAATTCGCCTCTTGAAGGTCGTAATAATATTATTCTGATTCTGTTTTATGGAATTCTTACTTTTTGGAGGCCCATGTTTTACTTTCTCATTTTCATTGTTCCTGTTGTTGCGGGACTGCTCGAGGAGTTATTGCTGTTTTGGGCTTTTGGTTTTTACCTATGTGGATCGAGGAACATGCTATATTGGATGCTCTGTTTGATAATTTTCTTTCTTATAGTTTGCCTTCATGTACACTGTAAAGTATGATAAATATGAACCAATTATAGTGAAGTTTTTTGGTTTTTATCTATGCTTATGAATATGTTGTGTGGAATGCTCTGGATGATTTGTTTGGTAAAGTCTAGAACGAAAATCCTCTTTAAGAGAATGCATAGAAGTAATGAAATATTGTTCGCTGTCACTGCTCTTACAAATTAAGTTCTACCTGTATAATCCACGATAATAGCAAACAAAAGAATGACTGGGGAAAATTTGTCTATTGGATTCTTGTAACTCAATTCTTTTAAAGATCCATTTTAAGTGGATGGGGTTGTAGTGTTGGATTTCTTGTTTAATATTCTTCACATGACTTGGTCTCAATCAGTATCCTGGTGAAGGTCGATCTGATTGCATGGTTCTGTTTCTGGATGAATTCCATGGACCTTTCTGGAAGCTTTGGAAGTGGGCATTGGTCCTCCACAACTTTGGAGAACATTTAGGGACCTTTTTCGCAGTTAAATAAAGTCTTTTATGTTAATAAATTTGTTCCCAAATGGTGGCTATGCAAAATAGTTTGTATATCAGGTTAAAAATAAAACTTACCGGACAGAATGGATTTTTGTTGTCATCTTTCTCTTCCTATATCTCCTTCAGAAGCAAAATCTTCACCTCTTCACACACCTCTTTATACACATTACCTGCTGGGCATCATCAACAGCAGTCCCTTTGTTGCAGTTCCACCTCTCCATGATCCATTTTTCACAACATCTGGCACAAATACCTCAACTATGCATGCATAGACTATGCCACCATTATGGTTCTCTATACAGGGATGGAAATTTAAGGTTGTTTTAAATTTTAACCAGTTCTGCCATTATTTTTGACCTGTGTGAGTTGCTAAATCAGAGAATTGCTAACAATTATGCCAATCAAAATGGTAGTGATTGTAACAACTATGCTCTGTTTTGTTTCTTTTCTGGCCCTCTTCTTTATAAATTTGTTAGAAAAGTATTACATGGCTCTCTCCTAGCTTATATTTGTACAGCTATTCTTCTTAGTTCTAGTAAATGCCTCAATATCTCTCTTTCCCTACCCCCACTCTTCTGCTGCTGCCTATTGTTGTACATATGCGTAATGTATGCATGTGTGTAGTTACTTCTGAAAGAGAAATGTACATTTTGGAATTGTGAGACAATTGACCTAGATGTTTTAGATTGGAGTTATGGAAACCATACATCACGAATGTGCTGCAGGTAGTATGTTAAGTTGGTGAAGATAGTGGAATGATGATTCTGTTTATGTGACATGATGTATCTGCAGATGTTGCTTTGCTGAACTGTAAGATTTTAACCAAAGGTCTCATGTACTCTTCAAAATATGCTTTCCTAGTAGGGTCTTCTACATTTAAAAACAGCTTGTTAAGAAACAGTGATTGAAAGTGCGTACAAAAGAATGACTGAAATCATTGGATGTTTGAAACTGTCCATACTTTTTCCCCAGTTCTGGTTAAAAAAATAGGAATTTTGTGTATTCTGTAATCCTTGTATTTGTTGATACAACAAATAGGTTTACGTTTAGTGGTGAAAGATTAGGTTAGTTTAAAGAAACAAAGTCCAAACTCCAAGTGCTGCGGACCAGATTTTTTGCTTTGTTACTAAATTGCCTCCCCTTATACTTGTTGATTTTAATATTTTTGAGATAAATAATGGATGTGCTTATTTTTCAATGGATAGTGGATAGATGAATTCAAATTGTGTCATGAATTAAGTGATAAGAGAAAGTGGATTCTTGAGTCTTCGGGAGTAATGTAAATCATTTTTTGATAATCTTTCACATTTTGTGTTTTCTCCCATGATTTGGAAGGTTAAGGTGCCCATAATGATGCAGGTTTGTGCATGGGCTATATAGCCCATGGTAGGATAAATACCAATGATGTGCTTCAGAGAAGAAGACTTTTTTTTTTTGCATTTCTCCACAATGGTGTGTCATGTGTGCACATACTAGTGAGACTATTGATCATTTGCTTTTGCATTGCCTTGCTGTTTTGTTTTTGTGGACCAAATTTTTTCAATTAACAGGTGTGAGTTGGGTGATTCCTAGATCGTTTTCCTCTATTTAGTGGAGGAATTTGAGGGACTAGGAAAGCATAAGAAAGAAGCGATTTTATGGCATTGTGCAATTTTAGCCACTATATGAGTAATATGAATGAAAGGAATTCAAGAATATTTGAGGATAAACGAGAGCAAAAGGAAGGTTTATGGGATCATTTTTTTTTTTTGGTGTCGGTGTGGGTTTCTGTTTCCAAGGAGTTTGATGACATTTTGTTTTTATGTATCTTGGCAGATTGGAGAGGCTCATGTGATACATAGTTTTTATGAGCTAAGATTTGTCTTTTTCTTTTCATAGATGGATATCTTATCCATCCATATGTTCTTTTATGTATCGTTTGTATCATGTTTAAATTAATAATGTTTTCATGTTTTCAATCAAAAAAAAAAATGTATATGGAGCCTTTATTTTTTCATTTATATGGAACCTGCTTTCTATTGGCAGTGGAAAGGAGACTGAATTCCACATTGAACCTGAGTTGACTTTGGAACTGATGATGGCTGCTAATTATTTGCACACCTGACCGGACAACCTCCTAGTTTCTGGGCAAAAAGTCTTGTTGGGCTTTGTAAGCCTTTCTACCTTATTATTCATATCTTCCCTGAATATAGACGTGGACACTATTTATTTATCCTTTTGTTTACTTTCGGTTGCATACTATATCATTTAATATATATTTGTGTAAATTTATCTGTGTGATAGGTATACAAATGAAAGGATCATTCTTTTTGCAATTTTTTTTTCAAACTCTTAGATTTCAACTGAATAATTTTTTATCAGGGATACTCGAGGATGATTTTGTTGCCAAAGGTCAGAAGGTTTGAAGGTCACTGAGTAACTGCCCTTGCATGAAGATGTATTTTTTCTGCTTTTATTGTGATTGTTGTGGTCCTCCTAACACTGTTAGGAACTGATGTAAATGATATAAATGAAGCTGGAGAAGGATTTAACACTATGTTTGTAAATTACCTAACCTATATGGCTAGCTAGACCTTATAATTGATGGCAAGATATTGGTCTTCAGGTTGTACTTGTTTGACTCTTCTATATTTGCTGAAATTTAGTTGAGGATTGTAATTAGTGAATAATATGTGGATATTGGGTCAACAGCTATGGTGTTTTTCAAGAAGAACTATATGGGGCATATTTTTGTTCTATCTCCACCACTTGGCTATCAATCAAGTGGATGAGCTGTTGTCTTCTGAGCTGATATGAAATGATCGTTGAAGTGTTTTTCTTCTTTATTTTCCAATATTCTCGTGTATAAATGATTCGATGGTCTCTTCTGGAAGTGGGTGAAGTAGGTTGGGGTTGTGTAAACCAAGGGCTATTGAAATGTGTTATGCTGGTGGATTTAGGTATGGCTTATTGCATGGTTAGGCCAATAGGGACCTGGACCTTCTAGTGCATCTAGCATGTTTTACCAGTAAGTGGGCAAGTGTATTCTCAGTTCTTCTAACTAAAGATACTACCTGGCTCCTGCCTCCTAAAATATAGTCAAAACTCTTTGAATATCACTGGAATAGCGTAATAACGTTTTCACAATCTATCAGTATTACCCCCCCCCCCCTGTGCCCGCGGGGTCGGAGTAAATATTGAATATAACAGTGATACTATATCATCAATATCATGTCATCTTTGATCATATGGTATCACCAACTAATAATAAAATTCCAAATGAGAAAGGTGAACTCCACTTAGACTAACATGGTAGAAGAGTGAGGAGTTATTTGTTTACATGGCAGGTTAGTTATTGATTTTTATGGGGTTCATCTGTTTATTTGTTTTATTATTATTAGTTGGTGATATTATATCATCTTGTCACATGATATTGTCATTGTAATGAATATTTTCTTCCCCCCTCCTCCCCACCAAAAGGAAAAAAAAAAACATTTTTGTGAAGCAACAATCTGTGCTTGCTTGAGGGGCAAGTCCCAAAACGTTCATTGGGTAGTCCGGCAATGAACTAGCCTCGATGATTCCCTATCATATTGGTAGGAATGTCAAAATTCGACACAATATAATTAATTGACATAAATTAAACGGATTTGAGATGAAATATTAATGGGTTTGGGTGATGAACCCATTTGGCTAAGTTACGTATAAAAAGTAATGGTCATTTGGCTAAAAATTTCTTTTTTTTTTAAGATAAGTAAACTTGACAATAAAAAAAAATTACGTATTAAAATTTGTTGATATAATTTTTTTTAAATTAAACGGGTTAAATGAGTCATGTCGTGTTACCTGTTTATTAAACAAGTCGTGTTGAAATTTTTTACTCGTTTATTAAATATGTCGTATACAAATTTATATATTTTTTATCTATCATCCGTTTAACACCCCCTGCGTATTGGCCCAGACTGACATTGTATCCATTTTTTACGATTCTTTTTTTTGGCACGGTTGATGCCATTTGAAAAGAAATTTTTTTTTTGGTAAATAATTTGAAAAGTATTGTTCATCATTACAGATTTTCTCATGGTGGGCGTGCCGGGGTCGTTATCGGGCATGACTAGAAATCATGTGGGTTTTGGCTGCGCGGGTTCGAATCCTGCCGTCAAAGCATTTGGTTCTCTGATAGGTTTTCCTGACTCGCTAATCGGTCCCACCATAATATATGGGCATGAGCCCCACCTATCTACCAAGCTTTAAAATTGTATGGCGTCAGACCATAAATAAATTTTTATTGGGCATGGTCTACCACCTAATTAATTTGATACCAGCGGTCTAGTGCATGAGAGGTGCTGACTTAAACATTTTATTCTTTTCATTTTACTTTTGTTGATATTCGAGGAATAACTCTTGACAATTATACTATTTGCTTTCATAAGTAAAGAAGAATTAGGATTTTAATTCTTAATTCATAGATTTTCGAACAGTTTAAGGTCACAATTACTTCATACATGAGAGGTTTGTCGTGGACTCCAACGCAGAGGGTTCATCATTTTGGAAAAATTGCATTGAGGCTCTTTCAAGTTTGTCACTTAATTACTCAAATTCTTTGATACTTAAAATATTACACACAAACCTCTTGAAATTTTTACACGTGTAACACTTAAACTTCTATTGTCAATATTTGTTAGTATATGCGTTAGTAAATTACACTCAAATCCCTTAAAGTTTGTAGGCGTTCAAAATATTCAATATTATACTTAAATTAAAAATACTCTAATTAAAAATATAATATCAAATATTTTAAATTTTACAACCAAAATTCATGTTCTTTTATATCATTTATTGAAATAAAATCAAAAATAAAAATCTAATTTTTTCTTAAAAAATTGTAATTAGTATATAATTATACTATTTATTGGAATAAAAAATCAAAGAAGGAGTCTAAGTCATTCATAATAAAACATGAATTTTATAACCAAAAATTCATGTTCTATTATATCATTTATTGAAATAAAATTAAAAATAAAAATCTATTTTTTTTTAAAAAAAAAAATGATTAGTATACAATTATACTAATATTTATAATTTTATTTTAATAAATGTCATAATAGGACATTTTATCTGGTTCAAGGGGGCACTTTCTTAATTGCTTCATCCTTCAAATGTGGGTTAACTTGTAGCCAAGGTATCTCTAATGATACATTGAGGTTAGCCTAAATTAAATATGTCGCTCGAGATCTGTCGACTCCTACTGTATCAATGTCTGCCGTTCTAAGAAAAAAAAAACAATAATTTGGAAAACTATATAATTGGATGTGGTAAATTGTTCTTATCTCCATAAACATACGAACAAAATCTCCCTTCTAGATAGGGTTAGGCTTCCTTTCCTCTGATTAAATTCGATATCTGAAAAGAGAAAATGGGATCAACTCAACTGTTATTGATGTGAGTTAGAGGTATATCCAAGTTTGAGTGGAGCAACCACCTTATCCATTTATCCATTAGCTCGACCAAATAGCATTACTCAATATTAGAAGGGTTCGATCCACGGGGGCCTCTTGTCTTATTCACTAGTGTTTTAGTAGTGGTGTGGTGACAGCCTATTCTAAAAAGGTCTGTAGTTATAATTAATGAACATTCTACATCGAGGGAAGCCCTCATGGTCACGCGCCAAGGGAGTCACTACCTGCTGGTCATCTCCCTCCCTCATTTTGATCTTTAAAAAAAAATATTAGAAGGGTATTTTTTTCATCCCCACAATCTCTTTTGCTCTTTCTGCTTTATTTTATGTCCATGTGGATGTTTTACATCAATTAAAAACGGCTCTTTTTTTTTTATACACACTTTGTCTTTAACTATGTCGTCCCCAAACAATTGAGGTGAAGGTCTCTGATTAGGTTAAATCTCAAAACTCCTAAGTAACACATTGACTAGGTAAAGACTCTCACTCCGTCAACACTCTAAGTAATGACTCTGACTCCATCAACGTTAATATACTTTTCAAATTAGTTTTTAAATTTTACAAGCAGAATTAATGTGGATGATTAGATGAATCAATCTAATAAAAAAATTAATAGATCTCGCTAATTTAGAATCATCTTACTTTAAGTATACAATTTAAAAATATTTGGGAATGCAAATGATATATCTTGTAAACTTTGTTATCCAACAAAAATCAGTGTGAGTGGATCATTGACAAAAATGCATATGGAAGGTAAGGGATCATACTGAAACTACTAACATACTCTAGAAAGCAAAGAGAGGCTGCAAATATTCATTTAAAGGACACTTGGCTATGACCCCACCAAAGCTTACACTTGGCTACAAATTGATGCACTCCACTTGTGGTGACCCCACGTCCCACTTATCCATTAATTTCGTAGCAAAAGATGATACTGTATGCAGAGAATAGAATGTGCAGATACAGAACAAGAAGATTTGTGAGGGGGTGAGAGAGAGAGAGAGGAAATCTTAAATCTCTGACTAAAGAGGCATGAGATCCAATACAATTATTCCATGAAAATCTCCAAACCCCTTTTTCCTTGAGTCCACATGGGCGGCACGGCATGTGCAATTCTATATTAGGCCTAATCGGTTTCAATTCAGCAACATCTGTTTTTATCTTCACGTGCTCTGTTTCTGCTCTGCTCTGCTCTGCTCTCAATATATTGATTCTCTTTGTCTTTTCCTCTGCAATTCTCATCTTTCTAGGCAATTAGCTCAATTCTGGGTTTTTTTGATTTAGTGATCAGAGAGAGTTTGATTAGTTCTCTTTGTGGGTACCTACGTTTGTTTGTTGGGTTCTCAATGGAAAACAAGAAGCAAGTGGGTTCATCAAAATTTTCATCATTCACTACAGATCTCTTTGGTGCCAAGGACTCGTCATCCCCACCGTCTTCCACTGGGATTTTCGCTTCTATTTTTCCACCTCCATCCACGGTATTTTTCTCTTGCTAATCTTCGAGTCCTTCAATGAGTGGTTATAAATGTTTGGATCTTGTGTTCTTGCCTATGTGTTCGTTAGAATTCGCTGTTAGGCATTCAATGCGATCCAGTGTTAACTCGTGTTAATATGGTGACTTATGGAGTTGTGAATTGTACCTAAAAAAGAAGTATGGAGTTGTGAAATCTATTTTTTCCCTTTTGGTTTTAAGGACAGAGACAGTACAATTAAGTTAATGAAGACTAATTGTGTAAGAACACTCAAGATTGTATATTCAGCTTAAATACACTCGGGGTCCAGACCTGGAGACCCTAAAACTTAGTCTAAAAAATTAGAGACAAATCCGGCTCAGAACATGCTCTTGGAGGCAAATAGCTATAGTGAGTAATATGTTTCTACTATGTGTATATGAATGCAAAATCAAATACTGTATAGAGCGTTAGAATGAGTGCCCTCTTTCCATTGTTGTACTGCTAGAGTTTTCTATAGTTACTGAAGATCTAGGAGTGTTGATTTCAGGTTGTAGGGAGAAACTCCTCAAACTCTGAGCTCATTGGATACAAGCAAAGGCAGTCTTCGGGGAGTCAGGCGTGGAACGCCAAACAAGGAACTGCAGGTCTATATTGTATATTCTGCATAATGACGATGTTACTCATGTGTATATTTGAGGTATTGAGGTAGATACATTGATTGATGATGCCCAGCTTTTTTCAAAGGAACAGTTTCCATGTATCTAAATAAAAAAAAAAAGGGAAAAATTACATGGCAGAAAGAAATCTATCTTATATTATGTGTTTCGAGTTTAATCCATATTCCTGGAGTATGGACATGCATATCTATATTTGAGTTGATTTGCCTCCCCAGTTTTAAGAATCATATTGGTGGTATATCGCATTTGAATTAAAATATTTTTGTGAACTATTGACATTTAAGTTTAGGGATTAGGTCATTCTAAGTTCTTGTATCTATCCTCGCTTTGCAAGCTCAAAATTTATGTGCTCAACGCCTTTAATACTCTGTGTTTGAAGGAGAATACTACACACACTGTATTTTACTCGGAAGGAGGCAATAAATATTCAGTAACCGATGCTCCCCTAAACTAGGTCTTTCATAGTTTGGTTGGTGCAAGTTTATTTAGTAAGCATTTGGAGTGTGATGACTTAGTTCTGACAATTTGGAGAATAATGCCTGAAACTCTGCCATTCATGTACAGATTATATGACTAAAAACAGTGAAGGAGCAAGTAGCTGTGCATACAACAAGGAAAGAAGTCCAATCTTTCAGGAAAGAGTAGAACCATGTCCTCTAAGTTCATCTCTCTACTATGGTGGGCAAGAAGATATGTACGTTCAGTCTTCAAGTGCTCAAACGTCAGCATCGTACCCTCCGGTGAGTTAGTATTCTGAAGTAGCATCGGAACCAGCTTGGCTTGACAAGATGAATTTTATGGGATTAATTGTTTTAACTTGTGAATGTATTAGTTCAAAAAAGATGGGGCAGAAGATGATCCCAATGGAAACAGTTCATATACTGCTTCTAGAGGAAATTGGTGGCAAGGTATAATTGTTGCTTAGATACAAGAGCAAGAAATTTATCAAAACACTGTTGTGGACCATAATATCATTTTCGAGCTTTTGTTTATGCAGGGTCACTTTATTATTAAGACTTTGCTCCCAAGGTATGTGGATTTTCTATCATGTTACTATGGTATGTTGACAACACAAACTATGCTTCTATACCATGAAGTGAAGAAGAGAGACATGCTTGTTTTTGTTCAGAATTTCTCTTTCTTGGAGTTGGAAGGAATTCAGCATGTTCAGAACAAAAGTTTTGTTGATATTCTCTGTATTTTCTGTGTATCTAATTGTACCAAAAAAATCTATAAGTTATTAGCCTCTCTCGTTTCATTTTGTTTCCCAAGATTATTACGACATATTTTGATGAAACAGATTTATTTAGTATTTAGCATGAGCAAATGGAGAATACAGTGTCTTTCAGCGTGCTTCATTTCCTTTTTTTAACTGTGCTATTCCTTGGAGTCCTTTTTTTGGGATTTATATAGTTTCTTAATCATACCTAATCTTGCAGGAATTCCTGAAACAGTGGAAGCAGTTTGATTTGGATTTCCTTTTATGGAGGATAAGTACTAGTCGTAGATAGCTTCCTGTGGACAGAACTTGGAGCTTTTATCATGGGTTCTCCCAGTCACATGGAACAAGGACTTTATATAATAGGGTTGTGTTTTTTATTTTTCTTTCCAAATTATAGTTTTTGCTTGAAAAGATGGTTAAGAGATGGGGGTAACACTTGTTACTGCTCTCTACTCCACTCCTTATGTAATTGATTGGGTTTATGGTGTTTTAAGAACTAGTAATTAATGAGTTTATCAGGTTTTCATGTACATTAAGGCTTAATAACAGGATTTACCCAAAAAGAAGAAGAAGAAGAAGCTGAATAACTGGATGATACGAGCAAAAATATGCAGTCTAATATCCACAAATTTACAATACAAAATGGGATAAGTTATGATTTACAGTTATGAAGTTAACGATTTCAGAAATCAGAAATCAATGTCATTAAATTATAGCTTGACTTGTTTAGTAGTAATTTAAAATTTTCATCAGCAAATCGCAACTTTCTGATGATTCAAAAAAGTCACTTTCCATATAAAATCCCCAAATTGAAAAGCAAGATACAAGCAGATCATTAGATTGTTGTTCAACACAAAGAATTTTAGCTAGAAAAGGCATACCTACGAATGAGAGAAGAAGTGCAGACGGAAGAAATACCACCAATCGACCAAGCTATACCAACTCCAAGAAGCCAAAGTATCCAAAAGCTTTAACCTGATCCAATTCTACTTCTCCATTGCTACAATTCATGAGCTCCTTAGAAATTTCTAATGCCCTGTTTGAGGCCTAAAAAGGCCAAAGGCCGACGAAGATTTGCTAACATGGATGCTAGTGGTGGGGATCGAAGGCGAGGACTTCACAGCATATATATATATATATATATATATATATATATCTCCATGTTCTTCTGGTTTTCGCGTTCTTTGAAATGAGGGGCGTCAGTGCAGCCAAACAAACTGTAAACAAAAAGGAGGGAACACAAAACGTAACGCCGTTGCCGGGGATCGAACCCGGGTCACCCGCGTGACAGGCGGGAATACTCACCACTATACTACAACGACTTACTGGTAACGGGATTCCTCATTTTAACGTAATATAGTTTGTGAAGGATGTTTGTTTGTTAAAGGGTCAAGAGATTTCTGAATCAGGAACCCCAAAGTTGAAAATGAGGTATTCGTACAATGGGGATAAGGCCTCATAACCAGTTTCTTAAATTTCAACAAATCAACCCTCAAAGTTTGACTATTTTTCAATGGGTTAAGTTAGCATCAAACATGAATAATGTGAAATTGATATTATTAACACATTTAAGTAGTATCATAACAATAAAATATAAATTTTTTATTATATATTATCAATATTGATCTAACTCTTGTACAAAAAAAAAAGATATTTTTACTTATTTTTATTATTATGTTTATTAAGATAATTTTTAATTTATAGAAAAAGTATGAGCATATATTTGATTAAGTGATAATGAAATTTTAGACATAAAATTGTACGTTAAGTTTTTTTATTCCAAAGTTACAAAAGTCAACACAAATATAATAAAAAAATAAATAAGTCGATACAATATAACATGATTAGTTAAACAGATTGAATTATGATTGATTAGTGTTCGGTACAAATTCGAAATGACCTAACACGAATAAAATTTAATACGATACGGTTGTCAGCCCCAACTACAAGTATTATGGTTGAATGATTATTTAGTGTTTTTCCACTGAAATGGACTTTTGATTTTTTAGTGCTACACGTACTTAGTGGACTTTTAGCCCAATAAATCTATTTATGTGTACCGGCTTCCATTTTTAACATTGTTAAATTCAATCAACAGCTTTCTCTAAGTGCCATTTGGCCCATATCCATGAATGATGATTCGTCATCATAGACCTCTACCAATGGATCCATTCACCCGAAGCTCATCTAATCCAAACACTATTTAAAAAAAAAGATCATTCGGAAATAAGTATACAAAATTAAACTTAATTGTCAAAAAAATAGATAGAAAAAAATATTTTATAAAAAAATCTACTTAAAACATAGAAAGACTTGAATACCCTTTTATTGTAAATAAGTTCCCTTCTTATATATGTCTATAAATGAGTTCTAACAAAACAAAAAGCTAAAATTTAGAAAAAACAAAATCCATAATAAATTCTCTCTATTTTTTTATAGATATGTTTCAAAGTTTTTGAAAAATTTTAAAATTTGACAACTAAAATTAAAGAATTTTAATTATCTTATCTTATAAAGTACTAAAATCAAAGAATTTTGATTTTACATTAGATTTAATTTGGTCACGTGTATATATATATGATGCTTAGTTTATATTACTTTTACACTATTTTGCTACATTGTATTGATACACTTTAGTTTCTATTACACATATACTGTTCGGTGCTTTTAAATTTTTGTAAATATATCATAATCATGAAATTCTTGAATACTTTTCGATTGGTGATTATAGTCGAATTTTTGTTGGGGTAAATTACATGTATTTAATATTATGATTATGAGTGTACAAAAATTAGACTTTTAATTTCATAAACCCTTTAGCGTCACACTATATTGATATACTTTCAAATTATAATTTCATATAAATTCAAAGTAATTTTATGTACACCATATAATTATGAATTGAACAAATTCATACCATCTATTTGTCTCCAAGAAACTACCACGAAAACAATAATTTAGAATTCAAACAACAGTCATTATTGTAGTGTTCAGTATTCAAAAATAAAACTGTAAAAAAAATTCATAAAATACAAAAATATTAAAGTTAACAAAAAAAGAATCCACTCAACACAATAAGTACAAATGAATATGAAACTGTGAAGAAAAAAAGATCCGAAACTAACTAACAGTATGTGGAATGAGCAAAATAAAAAATAATAAAAAAAAAGCATAAGTTCAACTTAATAATATATGAATGTTGTAACAAAAGAAATACAATATGTTTAAACTTTTCGTGTTTGTCGACGAATAATAAGAATGATATATTTGAACCTTTCTGAACGTTAATGACTGATAATTTGGAGAAGGAGAAGATAGAGATGTTTACTGACAACGATAATGATAAAAAAAATTTAATATTCAAAAAAGTAGAGATATACATAATCAACTTTATATGCAAATTTTGTGATAATATAATTCTTTCATTATATTTAGAAATAATTAATACAATAAAACAAAATAAAAAATCTAATTAACTGTCAAAAGAAATATGTATGATTTAAGGGAGGACAAATATGTCAAAAAACAATCACAAAAAGTCAGATTGTATATTTGAACACAATTAAGTTCTAAAAATAATGACTTAATAACCTAACATGAAAAGTTATGTACTTTTAACAGATAATTCTAATTTCATGTACTTCTTTTCAATTTTTCATTTAAAAATCATCATTAGATCTATACTAACTTCCAATATTTGATGGGACCAAAATAAATTCAAAGGTCAAAGTAAATTAAGTTAACAAATTAAATCAGTAAATTAAGTCTCAATAATATTACTCTTTTTGTTATGTTTGAATAGTGTCACATAAATATTGTTTCGTATTTATGTCGTATTGGTTGAATTTTTTTTTTTTTTGGGAGGGGAGTTAGATTTTAATCCTTAATCTCAAGAAAATAAAGTGTTCACAAGACAAAAAATACCATTAAACTAAAAATCCGTTGATAAATTTTCATATTACAGGTGATATAAATGCACGGAATGAATCACTTTTTTTTTTTTATAGGAAGAGGCCTATTGAGATTGAAACATGGGACCACTTAACTTTGATACCATGTGATATAAGTTATAACATTTGTATTTATGCCACCCCTTTCCTTGACATGACAAGAGTGGACAATACAGCAACTGATTTCAACAGCTAATAAGTCCAGCCAACGTTAGCTGGGGTTAACTTTTTCCCTTTGTTCTTCAGCATCTTGTCATTGTATCCCCCTTGATCATGATCTTAGTCTTAGTTTTAGTATTGTAAGTACAAATAAACAGTATTTTAAAATTCAGCCCGGCCTAACAGATTCATCCGGTAAACCAGTGGCAGATTTCTTAATTGGATCGGTCCAACAAATGACTCGCTCGAAAACAGTTCAAACCGGTCTAAACCAGGTTCATGAACCGGTCCAATTTTCACAAATTTATTTTTATATTAGAACTCAAACATAAAATATTAAATCTAAACTTTAAGACTCCAACTTCAAGGCCCAAACATAAAATATTCAAACTAAACTTCAAAGGAGCTGACGTTAAGCCAGCAAGTTTTAACCATTAACAATGAGACGTAAAGAAGTGCAACACTTTTATAGGCAGAGTCCTCATAACTTCAGGTGAGTTTTCGACGTGGGATAGGTAATGCACTTAAACTGTCATTATTTTTTTTATCAAGTTTTTTTTTGGTTTTTTAGGCATCATATTATTATTATTTATACTAAATATTCAATATTTCTTAGTGAATTAGATCAATTATGTAAACAAATTAATGATTTGAGGATATTATTTGTCTTTTTATTTCATT